TTTGGATTTTTATGAATAACCTTATATTTGTCTTATTTAATTTGTGCTAATGTTTAGGATAGTTAATGCATATATTTTATATAGTAGAAGAAGTACTAATATAAATTTATATACATTAGGGATATGCAGTAGATGGTTCTACGTTTTGATTGCAGATCTTAAATAAGGGGTTCGATTCCTCCATAGCCCTACACAAGCATGATTATATTTATAAAATCAAATTTAATTTTGTTTTATTTGTCTTTTAAAAAGAATAAAAAAATAATTTTTTTTTACTCTTATTAGCTTAATGGTAGAGCAGGATACTTCTAATATCTAGATCCAAGTTCAAGTCTTGGATAAGAATTCTTATCTCGGTTTTTTTTTACTTTTTTTTTATATTAATCAATAATAATAGATAACTTATTATAATATATACTCGTTTTATTTTTATTGCTTCTTTAACTCTAAAATTTAAAATTGAAGTTTGTTATGTTATTTAAGTTATTTTTAACCTAATATTTTTATATATAATATATTTTCGAATTAAAATATAGTTATACAATTAGATATTGACAACAAATAAATAAATGCTTTATTTACCTACACTTATTTCCATAATAGAAGTATTATTAGTTACTGTTCCGGTGTTATTAACTGTAGCCTACGTAACTGTGGCAGAAAGGAAAACAATGGCTAGTATGCAAAGAAGATTAGGTCCTAACATAGTGGGATATTATGGTCTTTTGCAAGCATTTGCTGACGCCTTAAAACTTCTTTTAAAAGAGTATGTTTCACCTACACAAGCTAACTTAAGTTTATTTTTCCTTGGTCCTATAATAACTTTAATCTTTTCATTATTAGGTTATTTAGTTGTACCTTATGGTCCTGGTTTAGCTTTAAGTGATTTTAATTTAGGTATACTTTATATGTTAGCAGTTTCTTCTTTAGCCACATATGGTATATTATTAGCTGGTTGAAGTGCAAATAGTAAATATGCTTTTTTAGGGTCACTTAGAAGTACAGCACAATTAATTAGTTATGAACTTATACTAAGTTCAGCTATATTACTGGTTATTATGTTAACCGGTAGTTTAAATCTTACTGTTAATATTGAAGCCCAAAGAGCTGTATGATTCATAATACCTTTATTTCCTATTTTTATTATATTCTTTATAGGATCTATAGCGGAAACTAATAGAGCTCCTTTTGATTTAGCCGAGGCTGAATCGGAACTTGTTAGTGGGTTTATGACAGAACACGCTGCTGTAATATTCGTGTTTTTCTTTTTGGCTGAATATGCTAGTATTGTTTTAATTTGTATACTTACTAGTATATTATTTTTAGGAGGTTATTTATATGATTATTTTTCTTTATTTTGATTAATGGAATATATTGATTTTGAGTATTACATTAACAATTTGCACAATCCAAGTTTATTTTCAGATCCTTTAATAGAAGGGTTGATATATGGTTTAACTTTAGGAGTAAAATCTTGTATTATGATTTTTGTATTTATTTGATCGAGAGCTTCATTTCCTAGAATTCGTTTTGATCAATTGATGTCTTTCTGTTGAACTGTCTTATTACCTATAGTTATTGCCTTTGTTATTTTAGTACCTTGTATATTATTTAGCTTTGAAATCATACCTACTAACATAAGTTTATTATAAACTTATACTTAGGTATATATTGATATGAAATCTGTATTTCAGGTTGTCATTATTATTAATAGTCATAGTTTATTATCTATGCTTACATTTTATAATAATTATTAGAAATTACTAATAATTCTTATAAAACTTTTGTCTGTACTACATGGTTCCATGTAGTCTTAGTAAAGGTTATAATCATAATATGTTATAATAATATTATATTTAACCCTGAGGGAAATCCTTAAAAAATATATAAATAAAAGTCATGAATAACTATTTACCACCAGTAGCATTTACAACTTACTGTTTAGATAGGGGATTAACATACCAAGATCTAGGTTCAGGGTATTTCAAACTCAGCAATGGATGAGTATACGACGCTGTTAGAAAAGATTGAGCACACAATGCATATACAACAGCTGCTGGAATAACTTATGTTCCTAATAGAACTTATGCGGGACCACCACCAACGCCAAACGAAGGGTCTTCTAATAGTTCAAACCCATCAGCTGGAGGATCTTCTAATAGTTCAAACCCATCAGCTGGAGGGCCTTCTAATAGTTCAAACCCATCAGCTGGAGGGCCTTCAGCTGGAGGGCCTTCTAGTAGTTCAAATCCATCAGCTGGAGCAGCGTCTAGTAATTCTATGAATATTTTATTGATTATTTTATTCATAGTATTATTAATACCTTTATGTATATCTTTATACCATTGTGCTTATGTTTTATTATCTATATCTTTGAGGGCTTAAATTATATATTATAAATATTATATTTAATCCTGAGGTAAATTATTCCTCTATCGAAAACTTTAAGTCATGCTTACACTAGTGTTATTAATACCTCTGCTAGGGATATTATCAATATCCACAGGTATTTCTTATGTATTATCTTCTTTAAACATTAAACGTATAAAGACCATTGCTTTAACTACCTCTATTATAAATCTTTTTATTTCTTTAGTTGTTTTTATATTATTTGACTTTAGTAGTAATGAATTCCAATTTGTACAAGAACATCATGAAATTAGCTCATATGATTTTTATTTAGGTTTAGATGGATTATCAATTTATTTTGTTCTATTAACAACTATAATAACTCCAATTGCACTATTAAGTAATTGGAATTCTATAAATGAAAATGTTAGATCATTTGTCATTATTATTTTGTTGTTAGAAACTTTATTACTAGCAGTATTTTTAGTGTTAGATATTTTATTATTTTATATCTTTTTTGAGAGTATATTACCTCCATTATTCATATTAATAGGTTTATTTGGATCAAGTAATAAAGTAAGGGCTAGTTTTTACTTATTCTTATATACATTGTTTGGATCATTATTTTTATTATTATCTATATTAGCGATGTCTTCTATAATGGGAACAACAGATTTTGATGCTTTATATAAAACTAACTTTAATTATTCTACACAATTATTTTTATTTTATGGTATATTTATAGCATTCGCAGTAAAAACACCTACTATATTTTTAAATACATGATTATTAAAGGCTCACGTTGAATCACCACTAAGCGGTAGTATAATATTAGCTGCTATTGTATTAAAATTAAGTTTATATGGTATATTTAGACTAATATTGCCGTTATTACCTAAAGCTTCTTTAGAATATACTTATATAATTTACCTTATAGGGGTTATAACCATTATATATGCTAGTTTTAGTACTTTAAGAACAATAGATGTTAAAGAACTTATAGCTTATAGTTCTGTATCTCACGCAGCAGTCTATCTTATTGGTGTATTTAGTAATACAATACAAGGAATAGAAGGTGGTATAGCTTTAGGTTTAGCCCACGGGTTTGTATCAAGTGGTTTATTTATTTGCGCAGGGGGTGTATTATACGATAGATCAGGTACTAGATTAATAAGTTATTATAGAGGTATTGCTCAAATAATGCCTTTATTTTCTATATTATTCTTTATTTTATCTTTAGGTAATTGTGGAGTTCCTCTTACTTTAAATTTTGTAGGAGAATTTATGTCACTTTATGGTGTATTTGAAAGATTACCTTTATTAGGTGTTTTTGCTAGCTCTTCTATAGTATTCTCTGCTGCATATACTATATATATGTTTAATAGAATAGCTTTTGGAGGATCTTTTAGTAAATTTTTTGAGGCTAACATAAGTGATGTAAATAAACGTGAATTCTTTATATTACTAACATTAGTAGTATTAACTGTATTATTAGGTGTATACCCTGCCCCTATTCTAGATGGTTTACATTATTCTGTATCAACATTAATATTTAATAACTAAAATTAATTTATAATTAAACTAAAATAATATCTTGCTTTTTTTTTTCTTTTTTTTTCTTTTATAACCTTTAAAATTTTCATGTTTAATTAAGTGATAATGTAAAATACCAATATCTTTACAGGTGTGGTAAGAAAAAGAAAAAAAAAAATAATTTTTTAACTTCTGATTACATTAAAAATTATTATTAAAAATAAAACATGCCACAATTAGTACCATTCTACTTTATAAATCAAGTAACATTTGCTTTTATCTCACTTGTAATTATGATATACGTATTTTCAAAATACATATTACCAAGATTTGTTCGTTTATTTACTACTAGAATATTTATAAGTAAATTATAATTAAAAAAAAAATTTTTTTTTTATTTTCTAATTAGCCTAGTCACGGCTTATTTATACTAAGTTTAAAAACTTTTTCCTTTTATTTTTACTTTTTATTTTCTATTCGAAGCATAGAATTCAAGTTTATATGGTAGTATTTATAATTTACACTTAAACTTATTTGCCTTTGCTCTTACGAAGTAAGGGTTTATCATATTTATTTTAAGTGTAAGTTATATATTTATTTTATGAAGATATTTCAATATATACACAAATAATATAATTAGAAAAAAAATGTCTAATTTTTCATACACAACAAGTCCCTTAGATCAATTTGAGATAAGAAATTTATTAAGTTTAGATGCTCCTATTTTTGGTAATTTACACATTTCCTTAACTAACATTGGATTATATTTAAGTATAGGTGCATTTTCAGTATTAATATTAAATCTTTTAGCAACTAACTATAATAAGGTTGTAAGTAATTCTTGATCTATAAGTCAAGAATCGTTATATGCTACTATACACAGTATAGTAACAAACCAAATAAATCCTACAAAAGGACAAATATATTTTCCTTTTATCTATACTTTATTTATATTTATCTTAGTAAATAATTTAATAGGTATGATACCTTATAGTTTTGCGTCAACAAGTCATTTTATATTTACATTTTCTCTTAGTTTTACTGTAGTATTAGGTGCAACTATTTTAGGTTTCCAAAAACACGGTTTAGAATTTTTTTCTTTATTAGTGCCTGCTGGTTGTCCTTTAGCTTTATTACCTTTATTAGTGTTAATAGAATTTATATCATATTTGTCTAGAAATGTTTCTTTAGGTCTTAGATTAGGAGCTAATATTCTTAGTGGTCACATGCTATTAAATATTTTAGCTGGTTTTACCTATAATATTATGACAAGTGGATTTATATTTTTCTTTTTAGGATTAATACCTTTAGCTTTTATAATTGCTTTTAGTGGTTTAGAATTAGGTATAGCTTTTATACAAGCTCAAGTTTTTGTAGTTTTAACTAGTTCTTATATAAAAGATGCTTTAGATTTACATTAAGTTATATTATAGTGAAATCATCTACTTTAAACCTGCATATCTATAACTTATCTCTTTAAAACTTGGATCTACATATTTAGTATTTAGAGATTTTTACGCAGAAGTTTCTAATTGTTTTACTATAAGTAGACTAACTTTTAATATATTTCTGAAAAGATATTATAAAAATAATATATCTTTAATAATACTGCTATATTTAGTCAGATTGAAAATGGATTTTATGGAGGTATTACAAAAATATATATACTTTATTGGAAAAAATTATATTACTACGATATAAACTTTTTATATCCATACTCTATATATCTATACTCTACTTTAAATAATATGTCTGGTATTAATGTTACCTATTATGGTTATCTAAATAAGAAATCTAATATGATTTTTTATATTCTTTTATCTTAGAATTTAAATTTCTCCTGATAAATATAAAGGTTTATTACCTTTATAAATGATGATAATACCCTAATAATTATTTTAGGTACTTGATAAGGTTGATGTTTTAATTAAAATTAGCTCAATATAATGGTTATAATATAGAAATTATAAAGGTTAGACATTTTCTAAAGAAAAAGATATACTTAAATATTATGTTTTAGATATAAATAATGAAAGCAGAAGCAATTCATTCATGAAAAGAAAAATTATATATATGCCTGTTATAAGTATAGTATTTATATTTATATACTACATATAGATAAAACATAGTTCGATGCCAAATACAGACTTTCAAGGGTTTTTACGAAGTATAATCAGCCTTTTCTCTTACAGTATAAAAGGTAATACTTAATGTTTTTCACAACAATAAGAATTATTATATATAGTATTTTTTGAGCTATTATTAATAAAAATAATATTTATTTTTTATGTGGTTAAAGAATATTTTGTGATACTAATAGTACAAGTATTATATTATGATATAATATAGGAAAGTCCAGTGCTTATCAAATGTAAACATATAATTTATGTATGTTAAGTAAAAACTTGAGTATTTAAGAGAAAATAAGTAAAATATTTCTATAGTTATACCTATAGCTAAATGTATAGTAAATAATAAATACTATACAGTAAATAAAGTTAATGAAATTGCAAGCTCTTTGTTAGGTTTTATTATAGACTAATAACTATTTACAGGAACCGGCTTAAAGGTATCCAAAATAAAACAAAAGTTATATAAATTAATTTTTTCTAAAAATTAAAAAACTTTTATAAATATATATTAGTAATGGTATAGAAAATAGTTTACCAAAATAAACTAAGCTATACCAATAAGTTGAGTTTGATGATGGCTCTGAATGAACGCTGTCCAAGTGCTTGACACATGCTAATCGTACGTCTAATTTAATTTATAGTTTTTTATTCTTCTTTAAATATTTTTATATTTTTATTATTCAAAAAACAATTCATTTTATTAGAAGTGGTGTACAGGTGAGTATATAATATTTTGGCTGCCTTAGAGTTAGGTTAAATGCCTTATGCTTCGCAAGATAAAGGAAAGAGATTTCCGCTTTAAGAGGACAATAAATATTTCGGATAGGTAGTAGTTAAAGTAATGGTTTAACTAGCCTAAAATTCCGTAGTCGAGGCTGAGAGGTCGATCGATCACATTGGGTCTGAAAAAACCCCAATACGTATAGTACAGCAGTGGGGAATATTGGTCAATAGCCTAACGGCTGAACCAGCAACTTGGGGGAATGTATAGCTTCGGCTAGTTATATTGGCTGTTTAAAATATTTTAAGTAATTCTTCTGAGATTGTTTAAAATATCTTATTCACTTTGATTTTTAGTAGTGCTTTAGATCAATTAATTAATTGCTAATCTCTTCATAAGATTTCACGTTAATATTAATAAATAAAAACGTGTTATAATGAAGAAGGAGGCGGACAATATAATATCGATTTTATCGAATAAAGTTCTAGATATACTACTGATTATGACAATTTTATATCTATATGTCTTGACCAAATTACGTGCCAGCAGTCGCGGTAATACGTAGAAGACTAGTGTTATTCATCTTTAGTAGGTTTAAAGGGTACCTAGACGGTATAATTAGTCTTAAATAGGATACGATTATACTAGAGTTATATATGAGAAGGGGAGTATTTATGGAGTAGAGTTGAAATTCTTTGATACCATGAGGACTGATAACGGCGAAAGCGACCTTTTATCTAATAACTGACGTTGAGGGACGAAGGCTCGGGTAACGAACAGGATTAGATACCCTAGTAGTCCAAGCAGAGAATGATGAATGCCATAGATTAGATGTTAATTTAGTCTATAAATGAAAGTGTAAGCATTTCACCTCAAGAGTAATGTGGCAACGCAGGAACTGAAATCATTAGACCGTTTCTGAAACCAGTAGTGAAGTATGTTATTTAATTCGTAAGTACGCGAAAAACCTTACCACAACTTGAATATTATCTTTTAATGTTTACGTCTATAAAAAGCGAAACAATAAGAATATTATCTTTTTCTTAAAGAAAAAATATATATTTTTAAAGATATTACAAGCGTTGCACGGCTGTCTTCAGTTAATGTCGTGAGATATTGGTTAATTCCATTAAATTAACGGAAACCCTTGCTTTATTTGTGATTATTTTTTTCTTCTTTTAACTCCAAGCAAAAGAAGAAAAATAAGAAATAAAGCAGTTCACCTATACATGGGAAAGATAATAGGGACCAAGACAAGTCATCATGGCCTAAATGTTGTGGGCGATAGACGTGCCACATATTCCTATACAATATGATGCAATAATGTGAATTGGAGCTAATCTAATAAAATAGGATAAAACAAGGATTGTAGTCTGAAATTCGACTGCATGAATAAGGAATTACTAGTAATCGTGAATCACCACGTCACGGTGAATTTAATCTCAGATAGGTACTAACTACTCGTCAGGCGCCGAAAGAAGTGTGTGCAATAAGTTTGGTCTTTCTTATACTTTTATTCTAGGTAATCACATCTAGTTACTTATATGGAAGATCTTCGTATGCGTGACTTTGATTGGTGTTAAGTCGAAATACGGTTCATGTAGGGGAACTTGCATGGGATTGATTAATGTTAACAATATATAATGTATATATAATTATGTAAATAAAACTCCTTCTTTTAAATACTATCAAAATTATATATATGCCTGTTTTAGGGATATTATTTATATGTATGCTTCGCTGCTTCGCAAGAAAAATACATATAGATAAATTCTGGTTCGAATCCAGATACGGGCTTTATGTACTAAAAGTTGTAACTTAAACTCTTCATATTAAACTTATTATATTTCGTGTATACTAGTAAATATGTATACTTATTAAGAATTTAATGAAAAATTAAAATTTATATGAAATAATCAATTATTGTAGTATTAATAAGAAAAAGGTAATATTATGCTAGTATTTATCGTACTGTTATATAGTATAGATAATAAAAAAATAATATTTATTCTTTTTTCTTTAAAGTAACCGTTACTGATGTGAGTATGATTGGTTTCATTAAAGTATTAGAGACTATAAAGTGTAAGGTTCCTTTATATCTTTTTTATTACTCATTTTCTGCGCAAGCTTTGTTTAGCAGAGTACAGTGTATAATAAAAAAAAAAATATATGTATATTTTTAATATTGAATAAAAGAAAGATATAAGGAAACTTCCATTATTGGTAAGATGGGTTGAGCTGTAAACTCAATAGTAATATACTTTTAAGAGTTCAAATCTCTTGTTTCCTAATAATTATTATATTACAAAGCTTCTTTTATTACTGGCTTTTTTATTTCTTATAAATAAGAGCATATATAGTATGTGTTAGATAATTAGCCTTTATAGCTCAATGGTAGAGCGTGATACTGTTAATATTAGGATAGATGTTCGATTCATCTTAAGGGCTAGCTCTATACATTTACTTTAGTTTATTAGTATAATTGTATATTTTTATAGACACAAATAAAGTCTTTTAGGCATGTTAACTTAATGGTAAAGTCTTGTGCTACGGACACAATTATGCGAGTTCAAATCTTGTACATGTTTTGACTTTAATTTATATCTACTTTTACCTCAAAGTTAAATTAAATCTTAACTAAGGTAGTTATTAAATTATCTTGAAGATAATGAGGGAGGAATTATTATTATTTATTATGAATACTTTATTTCTATTAAATGAAATTTACACTAACGGTTATAGAACTGAAGCTTTGGATATTCTTTCATTGGCTGCTATTTTATCTGGTATACTAGTTATTATTAGCAAAAACCCTATTGTTTCTGTGTTATTTTTAATAGGTTTATTTTTAAGTATAGCTGGCTATCTTATGATATTGGGTTTAAATTTTATTGGTCTTTCTTATTTATTGGTTTATGTTGGAGCTGTATCTATTTTATTTTTATTTATTTTGATGTTAATTAATGTTAGAGTAAGTGAATTATTAAGTAATACAAGTAATAGTATACCTTTAGCTATATTTATTATTATTTCATTTAATTATCCTGTACATCAAATATTACCTTATAGTGTTACTTTATTTAATAGTTACACTTCTGATTTAAATACATTAAATAGTGCATTATATAATAATTTGAACAATTACTTTTATAAATTGTTTAATGTAAATATTGCTCAAATAGATAAGGGTGAAATTTCTTTTGTTACTAGTAAAACATGGGATGGTAATTTATCAGAAACTAGTCATATAACAAGTATAGGTAATATAATGTATACTAGTTATAGTATATGATTAATTTTAACTTCTATTATATTGTTATTAGCTATGGTTGGTGCTATTATTATAACAATCAAACAAAAGAATTAAAAATGTTTTTACAGAGATTTTTATATAATTAAAAATTATAATATAAATAATTATTTTTTTTTTTAACCCAATAATTCAAGGATATAATATTATTTATTATATGTAAGACTTTTCACTAAAAGCACTTTATAATAAATTTAGGGTCAGTATCCTAATTGGTAAGGAACTTTTTTGTCAAGAAAGAATATATCGGATCGAAGCCGGTCTGACCCGTATACTAGATAATAAGGGATTAGCTTAATGGTAGAGCAACCGTTTTACACACGGTAGGTTAGGTGTTCAAGTCACCTATTCCTTAACGATGGTTATTAACTTGTTATAAATAACTCGTTATTCTAATTATATACTTATGATATGCAAAAATAATAATTTATATTTGTTTTATATTATTACACTTCATAAGAGCTAAGCTCCTATGAAGTGTAATAATATTATAGCATAGTAAGGATTATATTTTTATTTATTACTATATAAGGAATATATACTTATATTAGGCATATAAATAAATAGCGTCTTTATACTTCTCATCTAATATAAATTATTATAATTAATTTAGATATTATAAAGAAATACTAATATTGTAATGACTAATTTGACTAGAAGTAATTTTCAAGCTCATCCTTTTCATTTAGTATCGCCATCACCTTGGCCTTTATATACATGTATTGCTTTATTAACATTAACAACAAGTGGAGTATTAACAATGCATGGTTTTAGTAATGCAGATACATTTTTAATGTTAGCTTTTTTATCACTTATTTCTTCAATGACATTATGATGACGTGACGTTATAAGTGAAGGAACATACCTGGGAAACCATACATTAGCTGTACAAAGAGGATTAAATATGGGTGTAGCTTTATTTATAGTAAGCGAAGCATTATTCTTTTTAGCTATATTTTGAGCTTTTTTCCATAGTGCTTTATCTCCTACAGTAGAATTAGGAGCTCAATGACCACCTATGGGTATAGAAGCTATTAACCCTTTTGAATTACCTTTACTTAACACAGTAATTTTATTATCATCTGGAGTTACTGTAACATATGCTCATCACTCATTAATTCAAGGAAATAGAAGTGGGGCATTATATGGTTTAGTTGCTACAGTTATTTTAGCTATAGTGTTCACAGGTTTCCAAGGTGTAGAATATACTGTTTCTTCTTTTACTATAAGTGATGGTGCTTTTGGATCATGTTTCTATTTTGGTACCGGCTTCCATGGGCTACACGTAATGATAGGTACAGCTTTTATTGCAGTAGGTTTGTGACGGGTATTAGCCTATCACTCAACTGAAAACCATCATCTGGGTTTGGAATCTTCAATCCTATATTGACATTTTGTAGATGTAGTGTGATTATTCCTTTTTATATCAATTTATTACTGAGGTTCTTAATTAGTTTTTCAGTTAATATAACTGCATTTATTAAAAATACAAATATTTTAATAAATACAATTATGTCACAATTAACTATTTATTATCTTAGTTTTGAATTAATATTAAAGACTATTTTAGTAGAACAGTTAATAATAATAGCAAAAAAATACCCTAGTATGTTTTATTTCTTAGGAAAACTTATTACAATATATGGTTTATGTATTAATATACATAATATTTACATAGAGTATAAAACGGTTTTAAGATGTATGAGTTTTATTATGTCTATATATTTTTTTGATCCAACAAATTTAGACTTATTAACTTGTCTATGATTGTTAGATAACCTATGTTTATTATATGTAGTATATATAGAATATATTAACCCCAGATTTAAGTACAATTACCCTAGAATACATAAACTATTAGATAACTTATGTACTGTATTATTTTATCTTAGTATATTTAATCTTCTTTATTCTGTCTTTATGGGTCCTAAACAAGCTAAACCTTCATCTGGGTCAGAAGGTAATGGAGGACCTTCTGGTTTAGGTAGTGGTGGACCTGAAGGTAGTGGTGGACCTAATAATGGTAGACCTAATAATGGCGGACCAATTGATGCTATAGATAAAGGATCTAAAAAACGTCGTAAAGCCTCACCATCACCAGATATTGAAGGTGAGACTCAAGAGGACAGAAAAATAAGGAAGAGAAAAGAAAATAGAGAAAGATATAAACAAAATCATCCTGATCGTGTTAAATCTAGTAGGGATAAACAAAATATAAAAAATAAAGAATATAAATCAGAATGGGCAAAATCTGAAAAAGGAGTTAAAACAATGAATAATTGAAAAGAAAATAATAAAGATAAGATAAAAATTATACAGGATAAATATATAAAATCTGAAAAAGGGATAGAAACTAGAAAAAACTATCAAAATGATAATAAAGATTATCTTGATATTATTAAAGAAGAATACAAAGCAAGTCATAAAGAAGAAAAAAAAATGACAGACGCTGCTTATTATGCAAATAACAGAGAAAAAATACAAGAAAACGCTAGTTCTTATTATGAAAATAATAAAGAAACAATACGTTTACACAAATCTTTAAGTTATCAATTAAATAAAGATCTTAAAAATAATATAGATAAAAATAATATAGATAATAATAATATAGATAATAATAATATTGATAAAAATAATATAAATAATAATAATATAGATAAAAATCATGATTATTTTTTTAACTCACTCTAGCTATTTTATTTAGGGTCTTTTTTTTTTTTTACCTGCTTAACTAATAACAATTAGTATTAAGCATAGATATACATCTATGTTTAATAGAGACCTTAGTTTAATCGCAAAACATGAGACTTTTAATCTTTATAATGCGGGTTCAACTCCCGTAGGTCTTAAATTATATACTAATAAAAATTCTAATTAATAGTTGTAATTTAATGGTAAAATATTAGATTATATATGTATTAGTAATCATATATATCTTTGGCTCATTTTCTAAACAACAACAGAGGAATATGCCTCTTTTTTATAACAGGAAAAAAAAAGTATGAATATAAGTAATTTAAATAATTCACAATTAGGTTATTATTTAACGGGTTTAATTGAAGGTTATGGTCACATTTTAACATTTAAAATATTAAGATCCTCTAGTGGCCGTATATATAATCCAATTATTGGATTAACTTTTCATAGAAAGGAAATACCACTTTTTATACGTATTAAATAAATTTTTAGTACAGGGAGTCTTTATCAAAATAAAAAAAAAGAATGATTGTAGATATACTATATCTGAAAAAAATACGTTAATAAAGCTAATAAATTTAATAAACGGAAAATTTCGTACACCTAAAATAAAATATTTACATAAAACTATTGATCGTATTAATTTGATACATAATACTAAAATTAAAAAATTACCATTAGATACTAGTAAATTAGAATCTAATGCATGGTTAGCGGGAATGACTGATGCAGATGGTAATTTTATAATAAGTTTAGAGGGTGTTTATGGTTTAAATAATTCTAAGGTTAGAGATAGAGTAAGGTGTACTTTTTCAATAACACAAAGATTAATAGATAAACCTACTGGCTTATCTTGTCTTACATTTATGACTGAGATATCTAGTTTTTTTTTTCTTTCTAATATAATATTTGATCGTTCAAATGCAATTAGATTTTTAGTCTAAGGAGATTCTAAACATAATATGATTAATAACTATTTTTCTAAATATCCTTTAATCAGTAGTAAACATCTTAATTTTTTATATTATTTAGCTGAACAAATTATTTAGGTAAACGTCTAGCATGTAAAGAAATAGTTGAGATAAGAAATATTAAAAATTATATGAATAATAAAAGAACTTTTTATAGTTTAGATCATTTAGATAATTTCTATAAGTAAAAAAGGTAAAAAAAAAACACATATTATATAGTACTTATTTAAATTAAAAACTTAAATATAACTATAAGATAGATCAATATAAGGGTTTATTATATAAACTTTTATTATATAATAAACTTTTATTGTATATAACGGCCATAGGTTAATGGTAGACTTGTCGCCTTCCAAGCGATTTGTGTCGATTCGAATTCGGCTGGCCGTATTTTAAAAATAATATTTTTATACTATTAGGAAAATTTGGCATTGGTAAGCTATGGTATTTGCTCAATATTGTGCGAAAGCACTTGGAGGTTCAAATCCTCTATTTTCCGTATTTAAATAATAGGAGGGGTCGCTATTGGCAGAGCAGGGTACCTACTAAGTATTGTTGTGAATAACAACTAGCGGTTCAATTCCGCTCTCCTCCGATAAATAGTGTTTTTTGTTTTTATACCATGGTAAAGAAGAATGAGCATTATTTAAAATATAATATTAATATTAATTGCTTAAATTAATAATTCAAAAAATACTATTTTAAATAATATTTTTAATGGCGGAAAGGAAAATAAAAACTATTATTAATTCAAAGCAAAAAGAGCATAGTTTAATTGGTAAAATTTGAAGCTTCAAACTTCACTTTCTCCGTTCAAGTCGGAGTGCTCTTGTTTATAATAAATAAGTATAAAGGTTCTTTAACTTAAATGGTAGAGTGCGTTCTTGATAAGGATGTTGTCTAAGTTCAATTCTTAGAAGAATCATTTATAATAAAGAGACTTGACCGAGTGGCTGAAGGTGATTGTCTTGAGTACAATTTAATTGAATAAATTACGAGGGTTCGAATCCCTCAGTCTCTGAGCTATTAAAGAATAGTAATCACAATGATAGTAATAGTATAAAAATAGCTATAGTTACAGCAAAGCAGAGGAAAATGCCTCTTTTTAGATATAATAAAAAAAAGTATATATGTTTAAAAAAATAATAACATAATACCTATTATAATTTATTATAAGATTAATAAATATAAAGATAATAATAATTTAGCTGATAGTATGTCTTTAGTTTTAGGGGAAATAATTTATCTTCTATAACAAAAATAAGATATACTGAACATGAATTAAGTTTTGTTAAATTACCTGAAAATGTAAAAAGTATTATTATTGGAATATTATTATTTTATGGTCACATAGCTTTAATTTTAGAAGTAAAAGTGCTTGCTTGTTATTTAGCCAATTTTTGACTAAATTAACTTATGTATTTTTTGTTTTCAATTTTTTTAATTACTATTGTAAAAGTTATCCTAAACTTCTTATAAGGAAAAAATAGTAAAAGACTACTTATAAACTAAAATTTGTTAAAGATCTATACCTTGTATTACAGAATTGTAAAATATATTTATGAAAATAGAATAAAGATTATAAAACCTTCTATTTATTTTTATATTACACCCATTGCAATAACTTATTGAATTATGGGTAACGAGTCCTATACTGGAGAGGGTTTAATATTATGTAATAATTATTATTCAATAAAATAAGCAGTTTTATTAATAAATGTTTTAATAGGACAATGTGGAATTAATTGTGTTATATAATATAATACTATAAAGTATCCTATAATATATATACGTAAATAAAGTATGTTTAAATTACGTTAAATTGTTATACCTCATATGCATAAATCTATCTTTATAAATTAGGTTTATATAAGTATTAATGACAAATGTAATTTCTAATATACTATAGATTAAAATACAGGTATGTTAATACCATTTATTAAAAACTTAATTATATTTCTAATAAACAGGTTATAGCCAAATCAGGTCACGGCGCTCCCTTTGGGTGGGAGATTTTGTTAGTTCGAATCTAACTAACCTGAATAAAGAATTAGTCTTTATAAATAATATATTATAGGAACTAAAATAACTCGAGATATGTCATCTAAACATAAGTTTTATTTATTAGAATTTCTGTATTAGGACATAATAGTAATGTGTATGATATCTATTCTTCCTTTTTATACTATAATGTATAAGGAAGTATATAAAGAGACTATTAGGGATACCTTGCCATATATTAAAGAGAGTATAAATTTAATTTGTGTTTGAAGAAAAAAATTTAACACATGAACTCTAAGAGAAATCCTATAATAAACGAAGTAAATTGAAATATCTTAGTAACTTCAGGAAAAGAAATCAAACGAGATTCTATGATTAGTGTGAATGAAAGTAGAGCAGCCTATATAAATATCATGATATATATTAATATTATAATTTATTTTATAAACTAAAGTCTAAAGACGTATATTATAAACATTAATATTAATATATATAGTAATATATAACACCATTTTATATTTAGTGTATTTACTGCTGTGACTTTTTTTCTTCGAAAAAAGAAAAAAAAAAAAGACAGCAAAAAATAAAAATATATCCTAAATATATGTTTCCCTTAAAATAAAACAGCATTCAAAGTTTTGAATGTAAGAATGGGCTATTAGAGTTAATTGGATGGATTCCATCCAAGTAAGGCTATAGTTATTATAATATTAAAATTACTTGGATTATACTGATGAACAAGTTTATCCACTGATAAATTAAAAAAGTAAAACGGGCAAAACCTGTTTGAATATAAAGGGGAACCTTCCTCTAAGGCTAAATATGATATGTGAGCGACAGCGTATAGTTCTGTGAGGGAAAGGTTTGAAATAGTAGTCTTATAAGCAGCTCGAGTTAAATTTTATAAATAATAAGAGCGTACCTTTTGCATAATGGGTCAGCAAGTTAATATTAGATGCGAGCATGTGTGAAAAATGTGCCCAGATAAACCAATTATGAAATAATGAATTAGTATCTAAAATTAGACCCGAAGCCTGGTGATCTTACTACAGTCAGGGTTATAAAAGCCCGAACGGCTTATCGTTGTAAAGATATCCGAAGAACTGTGGTAAGTTAGTGAAAGACAAAACTGACTAGGATAGCTGGTTTTCTGCGAAACCTATATAAGTAGGTAATTCAAGTTACATCATAGCAGGTACAGAACTGTGATCTCAGGCAACTTCTATCTTATTATTCTACTTCGTAAGAAGTTTAGAATAAAAGATAATTTTGTATATATCGGGCAATCGTGAAGATTTTATCGGTGAGTATTCGCACTCGGAAGGGCAATGATGAATCTTGAATAATCGGACATAGTACGATAAGGTTGTATGTCTAAAGGGAAACAGCCCAGAACAAGAGTTAAGGTTCCAAAATTATTGTTAAGTGAAATTAAGGAAGTTTCTATCTAATACGACTAGGAAATAGGCTTAGAAGCGGTCCATTTTTTGAAGATCTCGTAACAGAGCACTGGTTTAGTAATTTAATTTTACATTGATAGTTGCACCGAAAATTTAACGGATCTAAACAATATACCGACACCTTGTCCATATTTATTAATAATTTTTATTTATTATATTTAATGGGGTAGCAGAACGTTGGGTAAATCTAAGACTTATTCTTTTTAAGAATAAATATAAGATAACCCGAGTGAGAATGCTGACATGAGTAACGAAAAAGGGATATACCCTCGCCTAAAGCTTATGGTTTTTCTAAAGTAACGGCCTCTAAGTTTACCAACCTAAAGGATTAAACGATGAGCAAATCTTTGTTATAAAGTAACAACCTTCTCTTAGTAAAATATAAAGTGGAGAAGGTTCTGGAAAAACAATAACGGTCGAACCCAATTATTTCAATAAACTAAACAGATGAGCAATAATTAATTCTATTTAAAAAAATTACATAAAGCACTAATAATAAAATTTATATACTCACAACAAATAGATAGACTAGATAAACCGTACCTAAAAACTATCCCAAGTAAGCTAGTAGAGAATACGAAGGCGTTTGAGCTAACAATCATTAAGGAACTCGGCAAACTAACTACCGTAACTTCGGGATAAGGAGAGCCATTCCTCCTGACTAATATCAGGTAAAGAATAGGAAGCATGGAATAGTGTTGTACGACTGTTTAATTAAAACAAAGCACTCTGCAGTAAGATAATAAATCAAAGTATTGAGTGTGATTTCTGCCCGATGTCGGCTGGTTAACGGATTTGCTAAGTTGACTAATATAAACTTGGCTTTGAAGGAAACCCCGATCAATGGCGGCCTTAACTATAAGGGTCCTAAGGTAGCGGAATACCCTGGCCGTTAAATGCGGTCTTGCATGAATGATTTAACGATACAACAGCTGTCTCAATGATTGGCTCAGTGAAATTGGAATAACTGTGCAGATACAGTTTACCTCTAGTTAGACGAGAAGACCCTATGCAGCTTTACTGTTGCTAGTTATTGAATATGATAATACAAATTTTAGTATATAAGGTAGCGTTAGCAGAATTGAAATACCTTTATTTAGTATATCATATTGGTAGACAAAATCTACGTGAAAGTATAAACTATTTTTTTACTGGTTTTCCTTCTTTTTCTTCTTCTTAAGAAGAAGAAGAAATAAGTATTAAGAAATAGTTGGATATAATCATTAACCTTTTTTTCGAAGAAGGGACAATTGCTAGGAGGCAGTTTATGCGGGGCACAGATCCCATAAAAAGTACCTGGGTGTATCCAAAGTTAATTTTGTAAAATTATGATAATTTAATTATCACAATTAAATATACTTCTAATAAAATATGTATATTTTTTTTATTTTTAGTATGTTATTTGCTATAGCAATAGCTATAGCTAATCCAGCTATATATCTATTGAGTTAGAACTAATATTTTTTTTATTCAAGTAAGATTTTAACTATATGGAAAATAGATGTAATTTAAGCATTAATAATATTGTATATTATAATGTTTATAGTTATATTATTAGTTTCTTAATTATAACATTAAGATATGTGAAAATTCACTAATAATATAATTATGTTTATTACTTGTCAAGTTTAATGGCTTAATCTTGCTTTACTGTTTGACTTACACGTCTATCAGTCGCGTAAGCGGGGCATATGATCACAAGATGCAGAAAGGAAAGGTCTTGGATTTTTGAAAAAGCTACGCTAGGGATAACAGGCTAATTGCGCCAGAGAGTACAAATTGAGTGCGCAGTTTGGCACCTCGATGTCGGCTTAACTTATCCACATGAATGCAGGAATCATGAAGGGTTCGACTGTTCGTCGATTAATAAGTTACACGAGCTGGGTTAAATACGTCGTGAGACAGTATGGTTTCTATCTTCTAGAGGGAATTAGAATAAAATAAGGATATCCCCCTCGTACGAAAGGAGCTGGGTATATTAACCTCTGGTTTACCTGTTGTTTATGTGCCCAATATTATAGATAAATATAAATTTTTTTTATTTTAATAAAAAACAGGGATGTTACTTTCACTTAAGTAAATTTATAGCATAGGCACGGCAGGAACGCTATGTTAGTTAAAGATAAGTGCTGAATGCATCTAGGCACGAAACTTACTTTAAGATATTCTTAAATATACGTAGTAGAACACTACGATTTTACTAATAATAATTAGCTTAGTTTATTACATATTTATACTATTTATTAGTATAAATTATACGCTATACTAAATTAATTATTTATTACAATTAATAGGCTTTAACTGAAATAATTTAAATGTTTTTAGGTATAAAGTACTAATTTTATATTCAACTAAATTAATTAGATATCACCATCACCGAATTTATATCTTTACTTATATTATAAATAAGAGCAATGCTCTTATCTATAATTGTAAATATAAACTATAAATTTTTTTACAATAGGAAAAACAATTATATTCTTTAACTAACTTTAGTCCGGTTAGCATAAAAGTAATGTAGCTGTTTTGTAACCAGCTGAAGCAAGTGCGATACTTGCACTGGACTTTATAATATATGATATAGAATAAGTATTATTTATTTACATGTTTTTGCTTAACAGACTCTAAAAAAGTATATGCTTTGCAATTAGAAGTAAAAGTAATTTTTTTTAGGCCTTATAGTCAAGTGGTTAAGACATAATGTTTTCATCATTACATGCGGGGGTTCGATCCCCTCTGAGGCTAGATTATATCATATATTATAATTGCGGATTGATGTAATAGTAACATAACTGGCTCATGTCCAGTCTATATTGGTGCAAATCCTTTGTCCGCATTTTTTTTTATAAAAAACCTTAAAGGTTATAGCTTAATTGGTAAAGCAAGCTGCTCATGACAGCTGAGATGAGTGTTCAATTCACTCTGGCCTTACTTAAATTAATTTTATTATGTCCGAGTGCTGGAATTGGTAGACAGGACGAACTTAAGCTTCGTTGATATAATATCGTAGAGGTTCAAGTCCTCTTTCGGATAATTTATAAATATTATAATAAGGGGACATAGTTTAATTGGTAAAACTACGATTTTGCATATCGTTATTTCAGGATCGAGTCCTGATGTCTCCACTTGAGAAGTATAGGAAATATTTCAGCTACTAGCTATTTATAGATTTACCGTACTTCTTCTTAATACGTTTAATGTATAAAGCTCGAGAAGCTCAATTGGTCGAGCGGGGTCTTGAAGCGACCTAGGCTGTAAGTTCAAATCTTATCTCGAGCAATTAAACAAAGGTAGTGCTGGAATTGGTAGACAGGAATAGCTTAGGCCTATTTGATTTTTAATTTTATCCGTTCAAGTCGGATTTACCTTATATCATTTAATCAATATATTATGAAAGCATATATTAAATAAGAATATATTATATGTTGTAGACTAATCGGTAAGTCATAAATTTTTGGTATTTACCATTGAGTGTTCGAATCACTCCAACATAATTATTATAGTTAAATTAAATTTTAACATTATATGGTGGATATAGTTCAATAGGTAGAGCGCCTGTATGTGGCACAGTATGTTCCCTGTTCAAATCAGGGTATTCACCCATAATATATTACTGTAAATATTAATAATAAGTGCCAGGGTAGTTTAATTGGTCAAAACATTAATTTCATGCATTAAGAATGAGAATTCAAATTTCTCCTCCGGCTTCATATAGCTTAATAAAATATATTGCCTGATTTTTTTTTTTCTGTGCTTGCTCTTATTAATTTCTTATTTGAAATAAGCCAGCAATAAAAAAAAAATTAATATGATAAATAAAATAAAATGTTAAACTTTAGTTTTTTAATAAATTTTAGATAAAAAACTATTATGTTTTTTTTTATATTAGTAAATATTTTTATATTTATTAATATATAAATATTTATTATAATTTACTTATCTTTACTTAATGTAGTAAACCTATAAATGTTAAGATAGATCTCCTTAAAAAGGAATAAAAATTAAGTTTTTATAAAGAGAGGTACTTATTTTTTATATAAATATAATCTTGTTTTAATAATATTATATTTGTTTTCTCTTTCGTATAGTCTACAGAAAGACTATCTGAGAGTCCTATTATTCTTATAAATAAAATAAGTATAAAAATATTTATTGTAAATTAACAAACTTATCTTTGCGAAGCATTGCTCCGTAAGGTTCCATAAGGCTTTAAAGTATAAATAATTAATTATTTAAATAAAACCTTAAAGAAAAATGGAGAAAATATATATAATTTATAATTTATTAATTAGCTTTAAAAAGTCCACTTTATATTTTTTATTGGATTATTCTATACATCTTATGTTAAAAGGATGCAACTTAAGGTTTAAAAATATATCTTTTATATAAGGAGGGTGGAAGAATACACTATACTTAAACATGCTCAATATGAAAGGTTGTATAATTTTTAATTTATACGAAATTAAAGAAGAGATAGTAAGAACGAATAGTTAAAGCCCAATTATAAGAAGTTAGCTTTAATGGTAAAGCGTTTTTTATTTTACTTGATCTTATTACTTTTAGAAACAAAAGCAGAGTGAAAAGACAAAAATATAAATAAGGTTCGATTCCTTTAATTTCTTTATGCTAATAACTTCATTATTATCTTTATTATTGTCTAATGCTATAACTTTAAGAAGGGATAAATCAATACTTTACAGTAGAATAGCTATAATAGTTTTACTGTATTCTTTTTTATTAGCTATATTTAATTTATACTTAACTTATTTAGATAAAGGTATAGGTTTATACGGTGGTTTATTTCATACAACTAGTACTACGCAGATTTTTCACATATTTATATTTTTAATAAGTGCTATAATATTACAATTAACAGCTTTTCACCCTAGAAGAGTTTGAATAGCTGAATATTCTTCTTTAGGTAAATTATTTTTATCTAAATTTTTATATTATAGAACAAAAATAGCTAATAAAATGGGAGAACAATTTAAAATAATAGAATACCCATTAATATTATTGTTTATAATAACTGGTGCTATATTTTTGGTATCAACAAGTGATTTAGTATCTATATTTATATCTATTGAATTACAAAGTTATGGATTGTATTTACTTAGTACATTATATAGAAACTCTGAATTAGCTACTTCTGGAGGTCTTACATATTTTTTATTAGGAGGTTTAAGTTCTTGTTTTATCTTATTAGGTACGAGTTTATTGTATGCAAATTCAGGAACCACAAATCTTGATGGAATATATATAATAACTAGTTTAAGTGATTTAGCTAATGATAGTAATATTACTGATTATCAAAAGGACACAATACTATACTGATACAAGTCTTATTATATTAATTTTGCATTACTAATATTAAGTGTAGGTTTTTTATTTAAAGTTAGTGCCGCACCATTCCATTTCTGATCACCAGATGTATATGATGCTATTCCTACCATAGTAACAACATTTGTTGCTATTGTAGCTAAGATATCTATATTTATATTTTTCTTAGAGCTAGTACATTATACAAGTAATTCCTTATTTAATTTCCAATTTAGTTGGACATCTAGTTTGCTAGTAAGTTCCTTACTTTCATTAATAATAGGAACAGTTGTAGGTTTAGCACAATTTAGAATAAAGAGATTATTTGCATATAGTACAATAAGTCATGTTGGATTCATTTTATTAGCATTAAGTATTAATAGTATAGAATCAATCCAGGCTTTTATTTTTTATTTAATGCAATACTCTATTAGTAATTTAAATGCATTTATTATACTCATAAGTATAGGTTATTCGTATTATTGCTATGTAAACAATAGTAATGAATATAAACAATTGGTCGATAAAAACAATTCCCCAATTCAATTAATAAGTCAAATGAAAGGATATTTCTACATAAACCCTGTTTTAGCCTTAAGTTTAACTATTACAATCTTTTCTTTTGTAGGTATCCCACCTCTTATAGGATTTTTTGCAAAACAGATGGTATTAAGCGCTGCTTTAGATAGTGGTTATGTTTTCCTTGCATTAGTTGCCATATTAACTAGTGTTATTAGTGCTGTATACTATCTAAATATAATAAAACAAATTTTTTTTGATAAATCTGAATATATAATAAATTCAGATTTAATTAATATTGATTTACACGGTAACATATCTAGAAATAATGTTTTACAAAAAGTAAGATTTAATACAGATAATATTATCTTATCGAGTTCTTTAACTATTACAATTTCTATCTTGACATTGATAATACTATTATTTATATTTATACCACAAGAATGACTGAGTATGGCTAATATATTAGCATTAATAATATTTAATCCTTAAATGACAAGTACTACTTTTTTTTTTGTATTTATTCCATTATTAGCTATTATATTATTAGCTGTAAATTTAATATTTGCACCGCATAATCCATATCAAGAAAAAGATAGTGCCTTTGAATGCGGTTTCCACTCTTTCTTAGGTCAAAATAGAACACAATTTAGTATATCTTTTTTTATTTTCGCCCTTTTATTTTTATTATTTGATTTGGAAATTCTTTTAGTTTATCCTTATGTAGTAAGTGCGTATACTAATGGTATATATGGTTTAGTAATAATGTTAATATTCTTTTTAGCTTTAACCTTAGGGTTTGCTTTCGAATTAGGTAAAAATGCCTTAAAAATAGAAAGTAGACAAACTATTGTTAAAACTAATAGTAATTTAACTAATAATCAACTTTTTGTTCAATCAGATTTAAATAATATCAAAATTAAAGCTACATTAGAATCTAAAATATTCGGTGGTTTATTACATAATTTAACCAAATTTGAGTGTAAATTAGGTGCTAAATACTTTTCAACTAGCGCTATTCATCTAGTTTCTCCTTTAAATAGTGATTCACTTTCAGACGGCAACAATACTCAAGAGGGTAATAATTCACCTTCAGATGGCGATAACGCCCAAGATGCTAGCACTTCACCTTCAGACAGCTATAACAGTCAAGAAAATAATAATTCACCTTCAGACAACTATAACAGTCAAGAAAATAATAATTCACCTTAAAACAATAATAACACTCAGGAGGGTGGTAATTTACCTTTAAACAACAATAACACTCAGGGGGTGGTAATTTACCTTTAAACAATAATAACATTCCGGAGGGTGATCCTAATGGTAATTTTTTTGACCATGGTACTGATGCTATGATGTATCATCCTGTTAAAGATATCCCGGTAGGATATCTCCGGGGATACATTAATGATACGGCATTAGTTACACGTTTTCCGGGAGAGGCAGGGGCTGATCAAGGTGATCCCGTTCATCAGGAATGAATGGACCGTAACCAAGAACTTCGTGATGAGCTAAGACGTCGTAAAGACGAGAGAATTTTAACAGATACTCCTAGTCCTAGATCTTTTCACGATCCTAATTCACCTTTAGATGGTGCTGCTGGTACTGGGCAAGATGATAACAATTCACCTTCAGATAGTCCTGCTTATACTGGACAAGATGATAACAATTCACCTTCAGATAGTCCTGCTTATACTGGACAAGATGATAACACTTCATCTTCAACTAACAAAAGAAAATTTGAAGCTGATGACGAGTCTAGTACTCAACCATCTAAAACGTTTAAACAGGATTCTAGCGATATTACTAGCGCTACAGAACCCTTTGATTTCGGAGGCGGTGATGATTAATTTTAAGTAGTTTTTATTATTGCATATTTATCCCTAGGTAAAAGTAGATAGTATAATAGTTTGATTATACCTACTTTCTATGGACGTTATAATCTAATCATCTTTTTTATTGCATAATAAGTAATTGGTTTAAGTGTCTTTGTTGTATGAAATAATAATAAAAAAAATAGATAAAATAAAAATTTAGTTTTTTTAATAGCTATTATTTATTTTTAATATTTTAGTATAGTTTAAGCTTTTTCTTGTTATACTTTATCTTGTTCGGTTTATTCTATAATATGAGATGAAAATTATAATAGTTTTTGGTATTTTAATTTTAGGTCTTGCTTTGCTCTGGGATATTGTTTATTTAATTTAGATAGGTAGCTTTATATTATAGATATAAAGTGAGGGGTGGTGTATTTTCCCTCTTTTAATAGGGGAAATAGGTAATTTAAATAGGATGTACAATATCTAACTAGCCATTATTTAGTATAGATTTATTAAACTAAATATATATATATAATTTTTAATAAAAGAATTTATTAATAGTTTTTATAGTGTTCTCTTGCTTTTGTCCTTATACGGTAAAGGATACAGCCTTGCGAAGCA